GCCCAAGCGTATTTGCTTAATGCGTCGATAACGGTGAGTATGTAGTTGTGGCCTTTGTTAAGTCTCATGTAAGGACGCATCTCGACCACATCCGCCTGCCATAGGTCGTCGTACCCGCGTATTGCGACGCGACGACACGGGAAGTTTCTTCTCGCGGACGCGTGCAACTCCTCGACTAATCTTCGTTTTTCGGCGCTCATAATTCTCTTCTCTTGAATAGTAGAATGACGCCTTTCCCTGCCTCGTCCGCGTCTTTTCTCAATTGCGACTCAATCAGTCCTCCTCCGGCTTAGCCAGACGTTTTATCTTGCGCTCCCTCGCGTCGTACTCAATGGAAGAGCTTAGACACAGCGCGTTATCGCGCACGTAATTTCGCAGAGACTCGATAGCCGGACGTAGTCTTCCGGTTCTCGCGTCGTAGCCGCGGTTTTTTAGAGGCGTACCGAATTTGCTCACGGACATCGCGAATCCCGCGCACGACTGCGACGATCGTCGATGCAACGGTTCGATTTCTACGATCGCTCCCGTTTCGCGAAGCTCCTCGATTATCAATAGAATCTCGTTTTTGTGAGCGTTGTTGCCGGCTCGACGCGAAGCGTCCAGCAATCGCAGACGATCCACTAATTCGTTTGGATCGTCCCAATGAACGTAATCGATTCTATCGTTCATGACTCGCATGGTTGACGGTACACGACCCGCGCCCATCTTTTTCGCGCCGCTGCCATGGATAAGCGGAGCAATAACGAACTTGTATTTGTATCCCTTATTTCCTAAAACAGATTTTCTAGCGTCATGGTCGCGTTTATGAGCGTTCGTTGTTAACAATATACTCTTGTATGTTAATTTATCCTTTTCCGTGTATGTGAGACTTATCCACTAATTCGTTCGGATCGTCCCAATGAACGTTATCGACTCTATCGTCCGTGACTCGCATAATCGATGTTACGCGACCCGCGCCCGTCTTTTTCGCGCCGCTGCCGTGGATAAGCGAAGCGATAACGAACTTGTATTTGTATCCTTTATTTTCTAAAACAGATTTTCTAGC